ATTTGATTCGATTATTTGACAATAGATTTTCTGTTCTAAATTAATATAGAAATTAAGTTTTTTTTAATCCAGCTAAACCATCAGATAAAGAGATAATAAGTCTGCAAACCTTTTTGAGGTCAGTATAATCAGTAAAGTCCATTAAATCTAATGATAATTACAAGATTCCTTATCTTGCAATATTGGTTGGGAGTTATTTGATATCATCTCTTAGTAGTTCGTAATATCTATTTCTATTTGTAAACCACATATATCCTAGAAGATGCCAGTATGGAATTTTCTATTAGAATTTATGATTTAATATTACGTATTATTATTTTTACATTTATTCTTAATCAAAATCTTCTATGATTTATTTTAAGTAGAAGTAACAAAAAAATAAGATCAGTTGTTCTGGTTTAGTCTGTATTAATTCATATATTTCCAGTCTGCTTTTTTCACTATATGGAATATGGTTATCTTTAAAGTGTATGAGAGTGCCAATATTATTGACTTAACTTTATTCTAAATTCTTTATATAATTATATACATTCAGCTTATTGTTCTCCTGCATACAAAATATCACTAACTATTTTATCCATGTTATTATAACTATCCCATATCTTAAGAACATCTTCAAACATCTCTTAAGGTATATTAGGATCTAATTAAAGTGGTGGCTTCTTTTTAATCTCTATATTAAATAATCCTTAATAGGCAGTAAGATATTCATCAAATATTGGAAAAATTACTCTTCCTTAAGAAACATATGTTGGGTATTTTTGCTGAAATTCTGAATGTTTTTTAGTTTTATCTTCTTATGTCTATGGTGTTTTCTAAAAAAATTCAAGTATTTAATTGGTTTTCTTCTTTTTCTAAGGTTCTGACTCTTTTAGTTTTCTTTTGGCCATTCTTTCTATACATGATAGACAATGCCATTTGGCTCCCTCCTGAAATTATGGCTCTTTATTTTAAGTTCGTATGCATTCCTAATGGTACTTAAAGTGGCATCTGATGCAGATCACAGTTGGGGTTGATATTGTTGTCACCTTACATAATCGGCATATAGATTTATCTCCAAATTATTATTTACCATCGATTGGCTTTTTCTGTTCAAGCTTCTTAAGTAGTTTCTTTTCTTTCTTGTCTTTCTTCTTTTTCTGATTGTCTTCTTCTTAAGATTCAATTATTAAATCATCTTCTCTGTTCTATTATTCTTAGCTGTCCATTAAGTATGTCTATGATTTATTTCAAATAATTTAAAACTAGAATCCAAAGAAGTGCTAAAAACTTAATTACTATAATATTATAATATGCAAATTTTTTATAAACTTCATACTCCTAAAACATTTGTTCCTCAGTATAGTTTTGCAAATTATAATATTTTACTCCATAACATCCATACATATACAATCATAATTATCTAACAATAAATTATCATTGCAATTAACTAACATTATTATTATTAGGAGTATTTAAAGAATTTCTCTCTCAAATCAAATCTAATTTGGAAATCATAGAATTTATTATTTCATTGTATAATAATGTATCAACTTTAGTCTCCTAATTAATACTTTTCAATTTTGATATATTTATTTATGTAATTACTTGATCCAAGATCATTAATATACATTGGATTATTTGATTATAAGATTATGCATCAATAGATTATTAAATCAATGTTACACTATTCAATATATTTAAATTAAGTTTATTCAACACTCTAACCATTATTTATGTAATATTAGATATTAATATATAAATAATGAAAACTGGAAATTCAAATTAACTATTTTCTTAGGTTCCAGATCCTAATGAGATAAATGAATATATCAAAGAATATCTTAGATATTCAGCTTATTCTAACACATTTGAATGTTTTGAAGCAGAAATAAAAAGTAAATAGGTATCCAGTAAAGTAATTGAAATTCATAAAATTAGATGTCAAATAAATAACAATAATCAAAATAATCAAATGATGATATGCCAAGAATCTTTCAATTATTTAAAACAGATAATATTAAAACTAAAAGAGAGATTAATTTAGAGAAGGAATAGAAATTATTTAATAAAAAATATCAATAAATTTTACAAGCAGGGAGACAAATCTTTTCAGTTAGCATTAATCTTTTATAATTATTACATTCATTGAAAGAAACTGCAAAAAATGAAACTCTTAGTGAATCATTAGAGAATTATAAGATTTAATTAGGAAAATATCATAAAGTAATTATTAATGAAGGAAAACCAGAGGGAACTGAACTAATAACTGAATAAGTCATGCATGAACATAAAACTAAACTTTATAAAAATTATTAAGATAAAAATGTAGATGGAATGATAGAAGTATTATTATCATTGAGAGTTAATGCACTTCAAATAGCACCAGAATTAAGAAAAAATTTAGTCTATGAATTAATTAGAAATGATGTTTTTAATATTGAAGCAACTGAAAAGTTTGACTTTGTTGTACATCTATTGGATATAAATAATTAAAGTTTAAGACATGCTATCACTAGTTTAATAAGTGTAATTAGTAGCACTTTAAGGGGTGTTGAGTATTTGACATTTAATGGTAATATGATAATTATAGAGAAAATAATAAAAATCTTAAAAGAATAAGAAAATGGGTCTGTGACTCAAAGATTCTGTTTAGCTATTTTATAGAAAGCAAGTATTAAAGAAACAGTAATTCCTACATATGTTCATAATGAGATGATTCAATGGATTATATCATTAATATAAAAATCAATAAACACAAAAATACATATTTTTTGTTTAGATTTTGCTTCTGCAACTTTAGCAAATGTTATTCATACTCCATACACTCTATAATATTTAGAAAAACAATCTAGATTTACTCATTAAGTATATATAAATAATAATAATATTAGATTATGGAATAATTATTAAAATTTATAAAGGAATAGATTTAAGTAAGTGTTATGATGCATATTTTAATATGTTTATCATATTTAAGTAAAGAGAACTTTGCTAAATAGATGGAGGAGTGTAGATTTGTAGAGAGAATAAGTGAATTTGTTGAATATTATAGTGTAATAAATACAGGTATTAGAAATTAATATAAATTTAGAGAATGAGGCTGCAGAAATAGATAAAAAAACAGTTCTTGATTTGTGTGCTCATATGTTCCATCCAAAGGATACTTCATTGGATAATTCAGAAACTTTAGAGATGAATGAATTAAAAACTGAGGATAGAATTAGAGAATATGAGAATGAACAAGGAGAGCTAATATTTGAATGTTTTTAAGATGAAGTAAGTTGATTATTAACCTCTATTTGAATTTAATAAATCTAATGTATATGAATATAAAATATCTAATTTATTTATGATTGAAAAAGTTATTTATAAAATAATAAGATAAGGAATGAACGCATAAATAGAAATATGGAAATTAAATTAAACATAAAATAGTTTTACTGAAATGATATTAAATTTTGACAAACAGTACGATATTAAATTAAAGATTTAGTTGATGTATCGATATTTTTTATAAAATTCTTTGTTCTAATATAGTAATTAATAAAATATTATATAACAACTAAAAACATCCAACAATGTTTCTAGACTTAGTATTCAATTTTTGTTGCTCTAAACGGCAGAAAGATGATAAAGATACAAAATCTCAAAATAGTAATAAAAGTTAAGAGGAGTAAATAATTGAACAGAAAAGGATTGAGTTAGACCTTGGAAAAGGATGTACTAATTAGATATAAAGTAGTAAAATATTGAATTTTATAAGAATCAAAACCATAATCATCAATAGTATCGCCAACTGATAATTATTTCTAATTGAATGATGAGAAACAATAAAAAAAGAGTAGTTTTGAAGAGGATAATATTGAAGAGAATCAATTTAATTTTTAAGATGATGAATAATTAAAATTGAATCATAACTATGAAAAAGATCATTTGGGAAAACGGTAAACAAAAATGATTTATAAAAATTTATAGTTCTAAGTCTTAAGAGAAATAAGAGAAAGGTTTGAAAAAGAAAATAAGCAAAAACAAAGAAAAAATTGATAGTGATAAAAGAGTTGTGAAAATTTGGTAACCAGAAGAAGATTAGAGATTAAGAAAACTATATTAAGAATATCAAGGTAATTGGAATAAAATAATTTAATTTATGCCAGATAGGAATATTTCATAATGTTCTTAAAGATGGAGAAGAATTAATCCAATATAAGTATATTAATTATTTTATTTTATTTTAGAGTAAATAAAAATGGACTCAAGATGAGGATACAAAATTAGTTTCTATGGTTTCACTTGAAGGCAAAAATTGGACTAAATTAGCTAGACATTTTCCTGGAAGAACAGGAAAATAGATTAGAGAAAGATATCTTAATAAATTAGATCCAAATCTTAATTTTGTTGCATGGACAGAATAAGAAGATTAAGAAATAGTGAAATATTATAATTAATATGGAGCTAAATGGAGTTTAGTTGCTTAACATTTAAAAGGAAGATCAGTATATATATATATTTAAATATTTAGGAAAATATGGTAAAGAATAGATTTTATTCACATATTCAAAAACATCTTTTAGGTAGATAAAACAAATATTAAATAATATATAAATAAGGCAATAATTAATAATAGAATGGTAATTCATAAACATTTGAAAGAAATTAGAATATGGATGTTGAATATTCTGATACTTCTAATAGTGATATGAAGTTAGTTCATTCTGAAAATTATTCAGTATTATTTAGATTCTAATATTATAGTCTTCAATTGGATCAAGTACATTTACATTTTCTTATTATGAAAATGATGAATTCAGTAGGGATGGAGATGATCTAGTTTATGACAATCAATTTGATCATGAATTTGATGAAAAAGCAAAATTATATTGAATTTGTTATATTTTTTATAAATAAAAATCATGATTTAGTTGAGACCTTAAATTTCACTTAAAATTGATAAGATATCTAAAGATGGTATATGCATTAGAATATTTGGATGGTTTCTATTCTATGTCATTTTGTAGATAATGATGATAAACAACAGAAAAAAATATTTATCCTATGATATTAGATTAACTAAATTTGATGTAGATACTAATTAACAAGAATATTAGAATTTAAATTATACAAATTCCACTGGAAAATATACATTTCCTATACAAAATATAAGTGAAGTGGAATTGAATCTAAATGTTACAATTAATAAAGTATTTAATCATTTAATATTTTTAGAATGATTATTATGATTTAGAACATGTTATGGTTAAAGAAGATGAAATACTTAATGATATGAAATACTAATTAATAGTACATTCAGAAAATTAAACTCTTGTACTCAATGAAACACATTCAACTTCATTAAAATGTAGATTTAAGAGTTAATAAATCTAATGTAATGGCTATTTAGAATCAATCATTAATAATGGTTATAAGGAACTTCAATTTCAATTACTAATCTTCCATCATAATGCATTAGCTATTCATTCACAAACTTTGACTTTGCTATATGAAAATAATCAATACTATACTATGATTTTAATTTTTTAAGTAAATTTATATTATATTAATATATTATAGGTTCTTTTTCTATTTTTGATAATATATGGCATTTATTATTTCTTTAGCAATTTGAGTGATTATCCAAAATAAATTTGGCCAAAAATGTATTTACTTCTATATAATTAGACATTAATGGCTATTGATTTTATTAATAGGAATGGTTCTTTATAATTTTCCAATCCTACTAATTAGAAATCATTTTGGCTAATTTGTTCACTATTATTAGAATTTAGTAGAATTATTCATTTAATCAGGATTATTTTATTTTTGGCTATAAATATTTGAATTAGAATAAACATAATCTTCTGATGATGATGGATAAATCAATTAAAAATAATTCAGTATTTGGAATGTGTTAAAATTGCTATTAGTTATTTTATATACAGTTCCATAAGCATTAATGGATACATTTATATTTATAATGCAAGAAGAATTAATGTAATATGATCCTAGAGTTGAAATTCCATTTTATAATACTTACTTGAAATTTGTAATTTTAAGTTTAATAGGATATTCTGTATGTTATGTATTTCTTTTATTCAAATCTTTTAATCGAAAAGAGTAAGCAATCTTAATAACTGAACCTCGAATTAATGAGAATGAGAAATAACATGATCCATTTTATGAAGGTTAATAAATAAAAGAATCAGAGGGTTAAGGAGAGATTAGAAATTATAAATTACTGCATGTTTTATCTACTATTTGTTTTTCTGCCTTAGTTTATTATCAATTAGTGACAATATTGGAACCAATTGTATTAACTAGTTCTAGTACTATTAATGAATGGGCATTAATAAATATATATTTATGTATGATTGTACAATTATATATGCCTTACAATCAACCATTTGAAGATGAATAACAATAATAAATGTATGGAGATGTAGAAATGGATGATTATAATATGTAATAATAATAATTATTTATTATTTTAGTAAGAGTACTAGAGTAAAACATAAAAATTTAGCCAATAAGAAATTTTATACAAAGTAAAAAGATGAACAGATAAGTTAAGAAGATAATATTCTAATATGAGTAGATGTATTATAAATTATGTAATTATATATTTTAAATTTCTTAATAATTAAAGTTATCAATTATATGAGGATGATGTTTAAGAAAATGAATATTCAAAATCATAATTTATAGGTTTCTTAATTTTCTTATTAATTTTTTTAGACTTCTAATTATTTTATGAAATAATCTTTTTATTTTTTGACAAAAATTATTAGTACTTTTATTTTTATTATTCTTCTTATAATTACATAATTGTATTAGAGATATATTTCTATTTTTTTTTATTTTGAGTTTTATTTATTATTTTATCATTACTATTTTCTGATTATTATTATTATTCAATTTTAGGAGAATCAAATTCATAAATATCTAATTATGCTGATAAGGATGCACATTTTTCATAGAGTTTAGCTAATACTTTATAATATTGTGTTTCACTGACAACTCTCATAAATTGTAATATTTAATAATTAGATTTCTTATTGAAAATAAAAATATAAATTTTTGAAAATCCTTTTATTTATTGAATTAATCATAAATAATTATATCTATAGAGTAATGAGTAAATGTCAGTATAATATAATGACAATAATTAATGATGATAATTTTATGAAATATTTATATCTTCATGCTAATAATCCTTGAGTTATTTGATGCATTAATTTTTCTTAGTTTTTTTCATCTGGTACAAAACATACTTTAGTTCCATTACTACCAGCCAATTGTTGTAATGTTTCTAAATATCTTACTTACATGGCAGTTTTAGAATCTAAAAATTCAGATGCTTATCTCATCAACTTGGCTGATTCCACATCTGCTCTAGCACTTATCAACTTTCCTTATGCTAATCTTTATTCAGTGGCTGCTGAACCTAGTGCTTATTGGAGATCAGAAGACAATTATATGTCTTTCATATATATGTTATCAATTAATACACCCCTATTATAATTATTCTATATACCAATCTTTCACATATTCATCAACCTGATCTTCAATTTAATCTGCAACTTCCTATCTTTTCTCTAGTAAATCTTAAAGTATAAAGGATCCTACTGTGTTTTTGAGGACAGCATAAGTAATTTGACGAACTGCTTAATCATAGTTCTCCACTCTATAAACAGCAAATCGAGAAGTTTTGATTCTATAATAAACAGATGCATCTATGGAAATGGTTACATTATCTTTGGTCATAACAGACTAAATAATATTAAATAGATATTACTTATCTATCTAAATCTATAACAGTAATTCTTAAGTCTAATTGTTCTAATGTATCTGTACATGGATTAACATAATGTAATCCTGGTCTAACTACTTTAATGTGTCTTCCAAATCTTTTGAACAATCCTTCAGTACCTAAAGATTAGATAGGAATTATTAACCTTATTGAACTTCTTAGTATGGATAATTAACACACATACAAAAAATACAAGGAATCCAGGTTCTTAAACAACCAAAACATTCTCCTAAACAAAATTAGCATTTAGCATATGCAATCATTGTTTGGTTATCTTATACTTCTGGAACTTCCAAATGAGCTATTTTTCTTCTTGAATGAGCATTCATATTCAATGAAAATATATTATTACTAAAATCAATTATGAATTAAAATCACCATTAAATTGTAGAAAAATGGTTATCACGATTCAGAAAATGTCTCTCCATTTGTTATACAGAAGATTCAGAACTGATTACAATGGAATTGCATAAAGGAAATGTTTAGTTGCTTAGTGTTGCTTAGAATAAAAACATTTTCAATACTCGTAAATATACAGTAAATTTACTCATCTATATTCAATTGTTTAGTTACTCAATTTTCTACCCAAAACATTATTCACAGGATTAGTCAGATTTGGAAACATCTACTTACTTGGAATTTCATTAATTATGCTCATAGATCCTAGTCTATCTCCCTTTTATAGGTGGATCACAATATTCCCTATAGGACTTAGTGTACTCTTCTATGTTATAATTGAATTTATACTTGATATTCGTAGATAAAGTTATGATCATAAAATCAATATGCAAAAAACATCAAGGGGAGATAAAGATGGTTAAATTGAATCAATAAAATGGAGTGATATTAAAATGGGAGATATTTTATATCTAATTAAAGGAGATATTGTACCTGCTGATATCATACTATTAGATACTGGATAAGTTAGAGACAGAGAAGCAATTTGTATGGTAGATACTTAATATTATGATGGTAAATCAAGTTTAACAAAAAAGAAATCATCGTATCTAACTTAATTAATTGTTTTAAGAACCAGATTAAAAAATTAATTTTAAGAATATAGAATAATGTTGACTGGTAAATTAGAATATGAAGCTCCAAATGGAAATACATAAACATTTCATGGTAGATTGAAATTGAAAAAGGATCCAAAATATGAAGAATTAACAATTGATAATTTCATTCCCAAAGGTACTAAAATTAAATAGACTTCATGGTTATTTGGTTTAGTTGTATATGTTGGTTAAAATACTAAAACAATGTAAAGTAGTCATTATGGATCATAAAAGTATAGTTTTGAAGAAAAATAATTTAATTTCTATTCTTTTCTGATGGCATGTTTATCATTATTTTTTACATTTATATCTATAATTGTATTATTAGCTAGATCAGATGAAAACAATTTTGCATTAATAATAGACAATTATACAACTAATGGGATGAAAGTATTTTAATTAGCTATATTATATTCATAATTAATTCCTTCTACTTTATATTTATTATTTGATATAGTAAATTTCATTTCATTATTTAAATTCGAAATTAATTAAATTGAAGAGAATTTAGTAAAATATGTAAAAATCATCTCATCTAATAATTTATGTGATTTAGGACATGTTGATTATATGTTAATAGATAAGACAGGTACATTAACTACATCATATTATAAATTGGATAATTTATTATTTGGATAATTAGCTTTCAGTTTGAATTATGATTAATTGTAATTGACATTAAATTAGAAATCAGCAAAATAAGATGATAATGAGGATCCAATAAAATTTGCAAGTATAAATGATAATAATGAATATTTGATTCCATTTGAATATGATAAGAAGAGGAATCAAACTACTGAGATTTAACAAAATAGTAAATTATTTCTTAAAAGTGTTAAGACTCCTAATAATAATCCAATGTTTAATTAAGTTACTGCTTAACCATTTAATAAAAGATAGACTTTTATCAATATGGATTAGTAATATTAATAATAGTATTAAGATTATTCATAAACAAGAATGTTTTTACCTCAACCAAAACTTAGAAATAGTCCAGGTAATAACAATGATGAATTTATGTAATTAGTAAATTAATTGAGAAACAGTTCTCCATAGTAAGAATATTTGTAAACTAAAGACATTAATACATTATATTATGATGCATTTTTAAAGTGTTTAATGTTATGTCATGAAGCTAGACCAGTTTTTGGTTCTGATTCAATATCATATGAATCATTTTCTAAGAATGAAGAGATTTCATTAACATTTGCTCGTTCTTGTGGTTATTCATTAGAGAATTTTAATAAATTTGATGGTCCAGATATTTATTTATGTAAAGTAAGGGGAAATCCAATTTGTTATCAAATATTAGGATTAAATATATTTACTTATAATAGAAATTTAAATTCAGTAGTAATTTAAGTACCAATGACTATGGATTTAGAATTGGGATAAGAACATTAGGATTTAAATTAATTATGTGGAGAAGGATCTAAAAATAAATCATTATTAATTTGTAAAGGTGATTATGAAACTATTAAATTAAAATTGTAATAAAATTATAAAGAGAGAGAAGAATTAGATGCTTATATTTAACATTATAAAATGAGAGGTATAAGAATGATAGTTTATGCAACAAGAGTATTGAGTGAAAAAGAGACAAAGAATTATAAACAAAAATTTAATTTGTTTTATAGTTCTTTGACCAATTAAGATAGTTTATTAGAAGAATTAGCTTAAGAATATGAAAGAGATTTAAGTTTATTGGGAATGATAGGATTTAAAGAGGAATTAAAGAATGATGCATTAGATTTCATTAAAACAGTTAAAGAGTGCAATATTAATATTTGGTTATTGAGTGGAGATTAAGAAGCATAGACAATTAGTTGTGCTTAGGCTTTGGAAATGACAGAAACATCTAGATATTTAAGGATTGTAGCAACAGATAAGGATTAGATATGGTTATAAATAAATACTGCAATAGGATATATATAAAGTGAACTATATAAAATATCAGAGAAATCATTAATTAAACAATAAGAGAAACATGCATAATAATAATCAATGAGTAGAAGTATGATTAAATCAAGTGTAACATTATTTGAAGGTGCATCATATTAATAAATGTTATAATTTGTATTAGTTATAAATGGTCATTCTTTATCATTAATAAGTTAATCAATATATCTAATGAGTCATTTTAGATTTTTAGCATGTGTTTGTAAGAATATGATAGGATTTAATATGAATCCATAATAGAAAGAATTAGCATGTATAATAATTAAAGATTATTTTCCAAATAAACCAACAATTCTAGGAGTTGGAGATGGTTACAATGATGCTTTAATGATGTAAGCCTCACATATAAGCATTGAAATAATTAATAGCAAATTAAATCATATATATCCATAAGTTAATGCTGGAGATATTAGTGTGAATACATTAAAAGAAATAAAAGTATTACTATTATAAAAGTGTAAACTACACTCTGAACGTGTTTCTTCTATGATAAAATATTTATTTTATTGTGCAGGCTTTTTAGGTATGACACTATTCTTTTTTAATTGGTTTTGTTAATTCACTGCTACTTCATTACATGATTCAATGACAGTATTTTTATTCATATTCTTATATACAACTCCTAATGCTTTAGTAATTGGATTAGCTGATTTATAAACAAATCCATAAGTAAATACAACAATTCCTACATTATATGTAGATGGTCAAATCAGAACCAGAATGTTTGGATTTTATTATTTAATTGAAGCATTTTTGGAATCACTTTTATCAGCAGCCTTCACTTTTTATTCATGTACTTATATGGTCAATTATTCTTGGACTAATGATGGTCTTCAGAGTGATTTATAAATGGTAGCAACCAGTATCATTTATATTGTAATCATAGTATCCACATTAAAAGTCTTATTTAGATTGATCTAACATAATGTGCACATTGTAATTATTGTATGTTTATTCACATTTGGATTATTAGTTGGTTTTGTATTTATTAATTTCAGAGGATAATTCAGTGATATTGATTACTAAGAAATAACATATCAATTATTCACTAGATATAATAGTATAGTTGGAATGATATTTTGCTTATTTGGATGTTTCTTTATCAAGTATTTCCTTAATGATTTCATTAAATTAAATTTATTTCCAACTGCCTATGAATAATTTGCATTTATTAATAAAGATGGTACATAATGGGAAGATACTACATATTTACAAATAATCAATTAATGTTTAGATCAAAATTTGTAAATATTGTATTTATATTTAGAAATGTATCTACAATCATAAAACATGTATTTATTGATTGTTCTACCGCATCTCCTTATATTTCAGAAATGCTTAATCCTGGAGACACTAAAGTAACTGAAATGAAACTTAAACCTTGGACATTAGAAATGAAAGAATTAGTCCTTGAATAAAAGTTCCTTGCTCATAAATTATCTCAATCACTCAATCATTTACGTTTTTTCTTAGGCATTTTACTACTCTATTTCATAGCATATTGTTTAACTGATTTTTTTATTAATGATCTTAGAGTATATACTGGAGTCTAATATTTAATTATCTTTGCTATTGTAGTACTAATTTTATTGTTTACATGTACATCTATTATGGAAGAAGAATACTACACTTATTCTCATTTAACTGTTTTAATAATATTTGTTATTAAAGTTGCAATCGATTGGTTATCAAATGATTTAACTATTACTCTATCTGCAACATTAGTAATACTATTTAGTACATTCAATTCTATGAATATGACTGTCATTCCTATTATGTTATACAATATCTGTTATTTAATACAATTAATTGTTAGAATATTAATTATTGTAGTATCTACTGATTTAAGTACTTCAAATGGAACATATTCATAAAGTAGGATATCTATATATGCTGCTAGTACTTAAATATTATTAGTGATTAGTATTACTATTAGATTTTTATTCACTTATTATAAATCAATTAAACATAGAAGAAATGATTATTTAGCAAAATATGCCATTGAATAAGATAATATGATTGCATTAGATATTTTGAGTATTCTTGTTCCTAGATTTGTTAGAGAATAAATATCAACTGGAATTTATTTAATGCAATAAGCTTAAGATGATGTATCAATCTTATTTGCTTATATTTGTGATTTTGATACTATAATGAAAGAAGAAGGTAAAAATGTTGTATTAATGTTGGATTCTTTATTTAGATCATATGATAATTTATGTATTGAACATGGAGTTTAAAAGATAGAAACTGTAGGATACACTTATATGGCAGCTACAGGAATTAAAGCTTGTGAATAAAATATGGCTGTTCATGTAATAA